TTTGGCTCTCACGTACTTGTTATGTGCTTTTGGGGTGCGTCTCCATACGAATGCATGTATCAGTTTACAGGGTTTGGGCATCAGGCCTGCGGGCGTCAGTTCAGTATTGTGAGTATCAGGCCTGCGGGCATCAGTCAGTATTTGAGAATCAGTTATCTGCGGGTATCAGATTCAGATTTGAGGACAGTGATTTAGGAATAATAATCAGTGTTGGAGGGCAGTGTGTATTCAGCTTGTCAACCGTGTGTTGTTATGCCAAGCTGTGTGTCATGCATTTATTTTAAGCTGTTACGCTATCCGTTTATCTGTTTATTTATTTCCTTTTCGCTTTATTTATCTTTTGCTAGGGCAATTCCAGCACAATTGCTTCCAACCCAGCAGACATTCCCCAAGCACTTTGGATACGAGGTCGTCGACTCAATCGATCCGAGGATCTAATTGACGGACAGCCAGTGTTCCATTCTCTACCCCCGGTTATCAGGCAGAGACCGAGGCAGCGCAGTGTATCCGAGCAGAGGACTACCCCGTCAGTGGACAGTCAGATTGGGATCCCAATTACTGCTATAGAAATACACTTGCCAATAGTTCGGACGAACCAATGCAGTATGGCAACACCGACAGGAGTCGAGGAAATGATGCGTCAGATGCAAGAAACCATGAGAGCCATGCAACAGGACGCCATTTGCCGGGATGAGTTTGCCAAACAACAGGCCGAGATCATGGCCCAACAGGCCGAACTGATTACCAGGCTGCAACAGCAGAATGCGGCATCTGCTTCACACTAAGTCCCTCCTCCGCCAGGGGCTCCATTACCCGAGCAGGCACCTACTGTTCAAAACGCTTCGCCTAACACCCAGAACACTGTGCCAAATATCCAAAACCTACAAAAGGACACGAATCTTCCAACGGGGCCAACTCCGCCCCCGCTTCCGCCACAACTGTCCAAGACCCATACACCCAATCACCCGGACTCTCCCTTCGAGTTCGAGATTGATCATACAGCTCTGAAATTGAGCAAGCTTGAGAAGCTCTTCAAGAAATCCCAAGGGGTAAGGGCTATTCCGGATATTGAGGACGGATATACCGACGTGGCCGTAACATTGCCCGATAGGTTCAAAATGCGCAAATTGACCGCTTTGACGGGTCCGGGGACCCCATGGTCCATCTCCGACTATTCTCAGACATCTTGCGGCCAATGGGCCTAACGCGACCACAGAAGCTTTCATTATTCGGCCGAACCCTGTCGGGTGTGGCCGCCCACTGGTACACGAAGTTAGAGGATGAAGTGAAGAAGAATTGGGATGAAATGGCTGAGGCCTTTGTCGCGCAATATTCGTACAACACTCAGATTGAGATTACAACTCGTGATCTTGAAACGACAAGGCAAGAACCCAAGGAAACTTTCTCAGACTTTGTAATCCGGTGGAGGGCAAAGGTGTCAATGATGACTTTGAGGCCCACAGATAAGGACCAAATCCGGATGATTGTGCTCAATCTCCAACCAAAGTTGATGCAGAGAATGATTGTACTCCCCTTCCCCACTTTCTCAGATTTACACGAGATGGGGGTACAAATCGAAGATGCAATAAAGCAAGGTCTGTTTGACCAGGATAGGGAGCAACCGAGGAGGACTTTCAACCGTAACAACAATGCAGGCCCGAGTGGCGCTGCAAACGCAAGAGCCTCGGAAGTCAGTATAGTCGCCACCATTCCCCCTCCCCTTCCAAGGCCCATGGCAGCCACACCCTTCTCCGGTGCATCCGGAAGCAATACTCAAACCTCCAAATACCCCCCCAGAGGCCAAAGAACCTTCACTCCACTATACATGCCTTTGTTTAAGGCTCTGGGGGTCTTCATCAGAAAGGGGCATCTGAAACCCCTAGAGCCGAGGCCATTGCCGAATCCACTCCCTCCCTCTCACAACCCGGCCAAGTACTGCACATATCACCAGCAGCATGGCCATGATACTGACCAATGTTATAGGCTGCGTCACAAGATTCAAGACCTCGTTGAAAAAAATGTGATTTTGCCGCCAGAAAAACCCAACGTCACAACCAACCCCCTCCCTACACACAACCAAAATCCACCTCCCAAAAGAGTCAACTTTATCCAGACTGGGGTCGTGTCTTACGATCCTAGCATCTATATTACTCCCACCCACCTACCTAAGCCAGAGGTGCTCCTTCCCGACTGCACTGACCTTTTGTGCATGTTGGACATCTCTACAACCCAACCCGAACCAGCGGTGGTGATCGTGGAAGATAGTGCAGCAGTGGTTGCAGAGGGGGATAGAATTGTCGAGGCTGGGTTTGAACAGTTTGCATTTTTTGCTAAGGAAGCCTACGACCCAAGTGAATACATCCTATCGGTGGGCCAATCCGAACTGAGTGTGGGGTTGCCAGAAAGTGCAGAACTGTGTATGATCTGAGGGGGCGGATTTGAGCAGAGATCAGATGATTTGACAGTTGTAGAGGAGGACTTCGCTAACCTGCAATTTTTCGATGATCAGGAACCAGGGGATGCGGCAATCAACTGGTTTGACTATGAGGAATCGGCAGAGGCCACTGGATGGCTCGATGATCAACCAGATGTAGTGGGAGGATCACAACCAGAACAGGGCCCGGCAGGGGCGAGAGTATCAGTTGTGGCCGGAAGGGCCGGAAGTCAAAGTATATTGTCGGAGAGCACCGGTACGAAGAGTTTCGCTCTGGACGGAAGCATTGTGGATGTAGGAAAGGCTGAACAACAAGCTGCACCGATGCAGATAAATCAACAAGGTTCTGAGAGAACCGGGAATGCTAAGATCCATGAAGGGATCGAAAGTGCTGTGGGCACAAGAACGGAGGTTGCTGTGGGCATACAGACTGAAAGTGCTGTGAGCACGAACATGCCCGAACCAGACGGGTGCCTTCTGAACGCCAGTAGAATGTGGTGGGAAGACGATGACTTATGTCTTGCCCACACGGATGAAGATTGGGGAAACAATCAATCGGATGACACTTGGTACCTCGATGAGGTGGATCACATGACGAGAAGCGGGCGGTACTTCAAGCCCCCGCACCTAGACCAACCCGAGGCATCCGGGAAGGATAGAGAAGCAGAGAAACAGAAGGAGAAGCAGATTGAAGAGGAAGCTGTGCTGAAACAGTTAAAGAAGATACAAGCAGACATCTCCATCTGGGGACTGCTTATGGCATCGCGAGTACATAGGCAAGCTGTCTTATCTGCTATGGACAAGTCCAAACTCTCCATAGATACTACATATACTGATGTGGCCGTGACATT